CCTTTCAGCAATGAGGTTTTGCAATTTCTGAGCTGTCATATGCACCCAGACTTGAGTCTAACCCAGATAATAATCTAAGACATGGGACCCTTCCCTTTGGCACAGTTCTGCTCTTCCTCACCAGGACAAGAAGCCTGGCTTAGCATGCTGGTGCCTACAGGTCTCACAAATGTGATGAGGTCTGACGAAACTGTATCCTCATCCTCATGTTCATTCTTATTTAATTGCTTGCAAAACAGGATTGAACGCTGCTTGAGTTCAATTTACTTTGGTTGCTTTCATAAGCACCATCCGTTCATCTCCTCTGATGCAAGGCCAGCAAGCAGCATCTCCTACAGAGATCTATCAGCCATCAGTATATGAAGTGCAGCACAGTTACATCCAAGTCCATGTGCACAAGCCATAAAAGCTTTCAACCAGTAAAACATACCACAAACCAATCATTATATTTCACTACTTCATAACAGCCATAAGACATCTGAGTTGTATGCATTACTTACACCTCTCCCCGGAGAAAGGCCCATAGTAATGAATACATGTAATGAGTTCCCTTCTATTTATTTGAAAATTTACCCATTCAGTGGCAAGACCTGACTGAGAAATACTGAAAGTATATTTCCATATACTGACTGGGAAGGATGTTCTGTTTAGCTTCAGCCTCACAATTTCATTGCACAACAGAAAAAAAAAGAAGAGTTGATGATACCAAAAAGGAAAGATAAGACACATTTGCTTTCAAGGTACACACGTATCTACATGACAGATAGCTCCAGCTGATTTCAGCAGGAGTTCTCATGGACACTAAATATCTCAGTCATTCAGATCTTGTTGGGAGTGGCTCAAAACCCAGCAGAGCCAGGAACTATATGTGAGCAGCTATACATTAATCTTAATTGCTATTCTATAAATAGGCTGGGAAACTCCAGCCAAATTGAGCAACAAGAATCATGAAGGGGTATTTTTTGTCCCCTGTATTATTAAAAGGCCAAATAAGTGTTCAAATTAGAAGGTTCAAACACTAACATGAAACTTTGTTTTGAGCAATAGGCTCATTGTGGCAGAAAGGAAAAAAAAATAACCATAAAAATGATTTTCATCTGTTAGTTTGATGAGTTTTAATGATGAGTTTCAGCATTAGTTTGTTACATGTTTTCATCTCTCTGCCCCATTTCTTTAAACTCTCCTATACAAGGACCAAATTTGAGATCTTAAGCTGCTGAACATGCTGATTACTTAAAAAGCAACCATTTTCCTGGATCTTAAACTTATTGCAAAGAACCTTAAGGCCACAACCACAGCAAGCTGTGAGGGACCCACTGGACTTCAGGGTGATGAGCTTACCATAGGCCAGGCTACATCCAGTTCTTCTGAGGATTTCAGCATGTAGCAAAGAATACATTAAAGAGCCAATCATGCTTGCTTTTGTGCATTAACAGCCCATACAACAGACTCTGCAAGGCTCTGCCCCAGACAGACTGGAAAAGTTTGTCTCATGCAATGCCATCCTTACTATAAAGAAAGAGCCTTTTGACTCCAGTGGGAGGTGAAATCAATGAGCAAGTTGTCTTGGAAGACAACCAGACCAGGTCTTCCAATGCCCCATTTCCTTGATGGACGTAACACAAAAAAACCCTGAAGACTTCAAAATGCACGCTTATTCTTCAGGGAGTGTCACAATAGGCACAAGTCATTCAGATACCCATGATCAGTAACTAATCATTCCCTAAAAAAGTAGAGGAAAGTTGTTCCCTCACATACAAGGACTGGGAGTTTGGAGACAATCTTGCGGTCCAAAGAATCATGGATTTATGTTCTTCTAACCAAAGCTGCTCCACAGGCTGTCTGCAAAGACAGACGCTTTGCCCAAGCCCTGCCAACCACTGCTGCCTCTCAGGATGAACAACTATCATCCACAGCAGCAGCTGGAGGGAGGTAGAGAAAGGAGAAGGGAACAACTTTGAGTGTCTCCCAAAGATCTTGCTGTACCTCTGTCTGACAGTGCATCAGCAGCAAGTCAAGAGGTTTATAGCATTCCAATTTAAACATTCTTATCACTGTGTGCAGCTCTGAATGCACTGCCCTGGGGGTTCCCTTCTGCCCATCAATGCATAGATGTGTCATCATCATTTTCTATCATGTAAACACAACTAGCATTCAAGTTACACTGACATGTGATAACTGTGTAGTGTTGATCATCCATATCAGGTTAAAAACATACTCGAACAAGATGCTTATAGGTACAGGCTAGTAGAGAAGACTGACTGGTATCGTATTTGCATGAGGCTTTCTCTCCTTACTTCTAGTTCTACAGATTGAATATACAGAAAAACTTGATGATATTTAAATAGTATTTACATATTTTCATTAAAATAGAATTATAATGAGTGAGGACAAAGCCATAAGCTGTTTTTCTATTATGAGGAAAAAATCCTATTTGAAATTATTCATGTCTCAATTTTCATTTATTTGGTTTATTTGTCAGAGACTTGATCAACACCGACAAACATACTGCTGCTTTTCATTTGCTGTATTTCCTCCTGTACCTGCTTTATGTAGTACCTTCCCACAAAATAAGGAGAAAAAAAAAAAAAACAGCAAAAGCCCCTTAATTATTACTAATATAATCTGACACAAATATCAGCAAATGGGCTCATTCATTTTAACAACACACATGATATAAACAATTGTATCAATATTTTAAGAAGAAGTCTCAGTTATTTTACAACTCGCCACTTACCCTTACACAACAAAAACAGCTGAATGTCCTATTTTCCTGGCTGTGCAAATACATACATATTTGTATTCACTGAAATAAGTTTGCCTTGATTAAAAGTTGTATAATGACAGAAGAAACATAGGGTAAAATTGGTCACATTCGAGCTATGAACATGGGGCTTAGCTACAAAAATAATTAAAAATCTTAAACCTGCAAGAACTGTTTCACTGATATAAATGGGACCAGTAAGAATAGAGGTTTTGTATGAAAAATAATTTGCAGAGCCAGTTTCATGCTTTGCAATCAGAGAAAAGCCCACACACTACAAAGAGGAAGGAATCCAGCCTTTTGATGTGGGAAAGCAAGGGAATGAGTCTCCTTTTTGGACATTAGCATGCACCTGCAGAGTGGCACAGAAGACTACACTGTTCATTGCCCCAGGGGCCCATACATTTCACTTGAACCTGGGAGCTCTGGCAACATCATCTCCCAGCCTGTACCTGTACAGGATGCTGAAAGACCCAAGCAGGGCAGACAGGCTTGCCAGACTACCTCCAGCATGCCTTGCCAGGAGAATTACCTCTTCCCTGGCTCTGTTCAAATGAACTCCAACACACCCTGTGAAGCTCAAATATGTCTCACTTAAAGCCCAAGTTTACATCCAACCCATCTAGCTGTTTCCAATGGACCCATAATTAATGGAAAATATCATAAGAAACACCAAGCTACATTGTGCTAATTGTTAGGCATCTTTTCATAGGAAAAATCAATTCCAAAAAACTCAATTCCAAAATCCCCAAATATGTGAAATTTAAAAAATCACCTATCCTATGTCAAAGTAAGAATCCACCTAACCCATGGTCCTGTCTCCACCGTACCTACTTTCTACAGCTTAGGGCATGTTCAACAGAAGGGAAACGTATTTCCAAAGTATTTCCTACACTTTCTTGCTGCTTATGATATTCCTGAGCCAAAACAGGACCCTTGTGCTTAATAGCCCTGAAGAACCTTTCCTTCACAGTTTTGTCCTGTCACTTTTTTGAGTCCATGACTTGTTCTTCAATTCAAGTCCAGTTAGATTTGTTCATGCAAAGAAACATCTTTTGCTATTTTGCTGTCCATGTGCCACCCAAAACAGACCACAGGATCAATGAATGTCATCTGGGAGAGTTTTTCAGCCTTTCCCCTAAGCTTTTCTGTCACAGCTTGAGACCTGTATCATATCACCTTCCAAGTCACGTGTTGAAGATGACTCAGAATCATTACTCATCTTGATCATACTTGTGAACCTCTTCCACATTTACTGTACTTTGTTGTGATAGATAGATGTGGTAGTAAATGCACAAGGGTGGGAGGCCTGCAACTACATACAGGATTTGAGTGCTGAGTATACCACGGACCCATATTATCCAAATAAATATAAATTGGTAGTCATGAAATGCAACTAGCTTTGGATCTTTGGTTTCCATAAGCAAAATTAAAGGCTCACTCCTGTGTTGTGTTGTTTCAGAGCCTACCTGAAGTATTATTTAGAGTTTTTAACCATTTGAGTTATGTATCAAAAAGCCAGACATATCCCAACTTCAGCAGGTCAGCTTGGACCTATGAGTGTCATCACTATTAGGTGTGTAGCTCTGTCCCTTTGTCTTTAAGTAAGCAGTATGGAATTTTGTAAGTCATGCAGCACACTGACCTCAGTTCCCCTTGAAGACCACCATGAAAACTGGTGGAAGCAGGGTGAGGATAGCGAGTCATGCCTGAAGCCGTTCAGATGGTACCAGGATCATTTGTAGTTGGACATACCATTCTTGAAGCCTTGGCTACCACCTGTGCGAGCAGAAGCACCAGCCCAGCTCAAGACTAACTCCAATTTTACACAAAAATTTTCTGGTTCTTCTGACCCTGAAAAGAAACCACAGATGTAACTGGAAAATCCTTGGGGTTTAATTAGAGCTGACAGAGAAAGAGTCTATGGTTCAGCAGGATGGGACAAAAGCAGCAGGAACAAGAGCTATCTTTTCCACCTTGTTTTATAGCAAAGGGTGGCTGAAGTCTTTGGGCCCTCTCTATAGGCCTGGATACTTTCTGTAGTCAGAAGACCTCCTCTGTTTTAATAGTTTTTTGGCTGGAGCTTTAGTTTTAGTATGCAAAACCACCATTTTAAAGAGATATCTATATTTCATACAAGAGTATTCTTCCTGGCAAACTTGCTTGTCCACCATTGCCCAATCTGTTGAGAAGAGTGGTGCTGGGCATTCTTGATTAGCCAGAGAAGCACACAAGAAAAGCTTTGGAAGAGCTTTCTATTTCATATTTGTATTTGCAAATCGGCCAAAAGCTATTAAAATTAGGAAAAGCACTTTCAGAAAAACAACTCCTCCATCACACCTTTCCCCCCCCCAACAACTTTTGTTTAATATTAGCTTCAGTAACAAAAAAGTCATTACAAATTACCCAAGCTACAAGATAGCTTAAATATTAACAAGCATGTAAAGCAAATGGGGGTAAAAGCCTGGAGCTCTATAATAATAAAGCAAGACTCAGCGAGATTCCATAATTATTTGTTACACAACCCAAGAAACCAGCTAGAGCATTTCTAAGATTACACACCTTTCGTATATGAGGTCTAACCATGCCAGAAATTACATAAGGCTTCTTATAACAAAATCATTTGTCATTAAAGAGACAGAATAAAGGGCCATTATGACCAGAGGTGACAGTTCAAGAATTACTTTACTTAGGACCTGATCCAAAGCCCATCATAGTGATTTGCATGCATTTCAACATGCTTTGGATCAGACTTCTAGTATTTCCCATGTTGCAGAATTTCCTTTTGGATTTTTGTGGAACTGGAATGGAACTGTGGAGGAAATAAAAACAGGCATTTGTTCCTGTCAGACCTGAGAACCCAGAGCTGGCACTGGTTTTAGTGGTAGCGACATCTCCTTTAGATCCTTTCAAAGAAAAAAAAAAAAGCTGGCCACCAATTCAGATTCCCAAATATGGGTTCAAATGCTTCCCAGGTATATCAGTTCTGGAAATGCTGACCTATGCAGCCAGCCCTAGCAGGAGACGCAGGCAGTATCACAAGCAGTTCAGATTCAGGTGGATATATCTAGACCTATGCATTTTTTTTTATGTGAAGAAAAATGCAAAACACGACTCATAACAGGAAGATGACATCTGCAGCATGGAAGTAAAGTTCTCAGCTGTAAGCCCAGCCGTGTCCACCAGGAAGCCCCTTTGGATAAAAGTGGACATCCTAGTGAAACAGTTTATTTGTATGCTTGCAGGTGAGGACTCTGCTTTTTTTTTCCCCACCCCTTCCTTTAGGTATGTTAAGGGCTGTGGACAAGACACAGCTCAGTGGGAAAATACTGTGGTCCAAAAAAAAGGTATTATCCTGCACATTTACCGGAAAATACAAGACTCCTGCAAAAGCAGCAAAACAAAGACTTCAAATTGACTTGGCAGGGATCAGTTTGCAAGACCTGGTTAAAAAAGTATCTCACCGTGGAAGCACTGCTCTGTAGTAGTTAACAATAATATACTAGAGTCAACACATTTGGGGGGGGGGGGGGGAAGGGAGGAAATCACCTCAGAATACAATAAAACTCTACAGCCTCTTGAATATTGTGATGAATGTGGAAAGAGTCCAGCTGTTAATTGCCTCTTCTAATAACCCAAGGGCCATTAGATTAGGCTGGTAGGATATAGGTGATTTGATTTGCTCCCGTCAGAAGTCTCCTTGCAACCAAGCAAGAATGCCCCATTGGGTAGACTCCCACAGGATTTTGCTTGTTTTCTAGACTTCTGACTTTGTTGCAACATTCAGATCTCCACCCCCACGTCTGACAGTCACACCACTCAAGACTGATAGAACATCCTTGAGCTCTCCAGATTCATAATTTCTCCTTCAGCCCACAGTCCACGCAATGTACTTCTTAAGCCCTAAGCCTGGCTTCATCCAAGGACTGACTGCACAGTGCTTCTCTACAACACAATCCAAACATAGAAACACTACCTGGCAAATTCATCAGGTCAGCTGTAACAGAGGGCACCTTTCAGTAAAGCATCATTTCTTCTTGTTCAACTGCTTTCTAGATAGGAGAATTCATGATAGCACTGAACAGCCTGGGACTCCAGCAAAGCATCAAAATAATTCCTTTTGATTCCCACTCAGCTGAGCAGAGACCAGTGGCACAGCAAGGTGGTGCACATACCTTGATTTGTGCCTGTACCAGACCTGGGGACTGGGTTTACCAAGAACCTGCCTAGGTGCTCACCTCCATAGGGAACTGGGGGTACCCCATCTTCTGATGCCATGACTTCCAAATCTGACCCACCAAGTGCGATACCTTTGTCCCGAGCTAAGCAAAGTCATACTGGCATCGAAGAAGAGAAAAAAAGAAAGAAAGAAAAAAAAAATTAAAAAATCCACAAGCAAACAAACAAAAAACCCAACAACCACTCACATACCAGTTAAGAGAATATTTTTTTCCTCCTATCCAAATGTTTAGTGTGTCAATTTCCCTTTCTTGAGATATGCAGTTTTCCATGTTCTTCAGCAACATGTTTCTGGACATGCTAACCTTTTCCTACACAGACTGGGAAGCTCAGATTCAACACAATCTCTTTTCCATCATCAACCCTTACAAAAGTGGAAGCTATGCCTTCAGAAGTCATCTGACCTTCATTCTGGTCTTAAGACACTACATACATGCTTTCAAATGGAAGGAAAAGAATTCTATTTTACTTGAACACAAAGCTGAACAACTTTTGATCAGAGCGAATAGCTTGATGCTTGTAGATAAAGGCCATTTCTAAGCCAAGGTGGGTTTACCTTTCAACAGGAACATCACCAGCCCTTACACACTGTGTCTGATAGAGCTACATGGTAGAAACAAAAACACAGAACTAACAAAACACCCACATTATTCTTCCCTCCCACTAACTTGAACAACACTGACCGAAATATCTGACTAGTCTCTTCTGCTGGCTTTTCCCCGTCTCGTTTCTACAGCTGGTGATGGGTACACCCATTATGAGCAAAACTAAGCAGAGTGTCTGTAGAGGTGTGCAGATAATCAAGGCAACACTGCAGCCTGCAGGTGCTTTTTAAGATAACACCAGGACACACCTGGCTACTGCTCATGTCTCCACTCCCAGAGGAGAGCACACTGGCAGTGACAGACTGGAGGATCTTTTGAAGTCACTTTTGCGGGCTAAGTGTTAAGTAGACCAAAATAAATTAATCAGGCTGGGTTCATGAGTAGAAGGAAATTATGACTTACCTTTCACACGCATCCCCATTCTCAGCAACTGAACACCTTTGTGAAGGCAATGTGTAGAATTATTTCTTTAACCCTGGATGTTTATGTATTATATGGATACGAAAAATGCTAAAAGCCTCAAGATGACAGACAAATGCACAGAACCAGTGTCATAAGAAAGGAAATAGATGCTTAGAACTGAAAAGGAGCAAAGAAGTGGGAAACAAATCAGCTAATACTCTTTACCTTCTTTGACCTAGAAGCCAGGCATCTTCTCAAAGCAGTCCCACTAACTAGCCTATTTAGGACTACTTTTTTCAAGTCTATTGTCCCCCTCTATTGCTTTAACATATTCATTTTCTTGGAGGTCAGGTGCTCCACTACCACCATTTTCAAGCTATTTCAGGTGATCCTCCTCATTTAAATTTCCTCAGAGCTTCAGCTTCTTTGTGAGTTCCTCCAAACAATAAAAGCCAGAAATATAATGGCATCTTCTTTTACTGCCTTCTCCACATTCCTACACAGTTAAATATTCTCAGCACTCTCCAACAATTTGATTAGTTTTGTCGTGTTATACTTTTTAATAAAACTTCTCCACTCAGTTTTCTGACCTCCAAGAGACTTCTGGATCTTTTATTACCTAGAAGCATTCAGTAAACTTGCCACTCATCCCTTCTCCTCTGGAGAAAGTATTTGTATTCTTGGCATGCAGTGCAACTCTTCCCTTACATTTCCCCATCTTTCTTCCACAGCAATTCATTCTAATATAGCAATCATACAACCCATCTGCCAGGCCTCTGTGATACCTCTTATATCATAGCATTGGCTGTGGTCTAAAGCTTTGAATTCTTCTTTTTTATTGCCATACCTGTGGCATTAGTGTAGAGTGATGTCAAGTGCTCAGCTCACTGCCCTATTGCTCTCAGTCCTGTTTCTCTAATGGCTTCCATACAGCTCCCCACTACCCTTCCACAGGTGCCAGGATACTCATTTACCTGTGGACTCTAAAGACTTCACCCTTCAAGCCTAGATCAGAGCAACTCTGTTAGGCCCCTTTGCTCAACATCATTCCTCTCTGGCATCTAACAGTCCCTGCCTGCCTCTCTGCTTAAAGTAGTGACAGAAGTTGTGACTTCCCCAAGCCTCAGATTTATTTCTAGTCTGGGAAGAGTCACACCTGGTTGTGGGACCTCAGAACTGACCTAATTAAAAGCACTCAGAGGAACACCATTACAGCTCATCTTCCCATGACGGGAATGGAAGTATCTCCAATTGTGGCCTAAGCATCTGTCCTACTAGCCAGAACAACAGGGAAACAGTCTGAGGGCTAGTTCCCTTTAGAAGGCAGCCACAAATCACCAACAGCCCCTCTGTCCAACAACAACCCTTCCTCTCTCAGTATTTTAGCCAGTGCACTCATAGCACCTCCTTCTCCTGGGAAAAGTCCTTCAGAGGTTCCCTGAAAACCACTACTTGTCTTACACCCTCTGCCTCAATTAGTTTTAATTAACATCATATTAATAAGGAATCACTCAACTTTAACTTCAAAGATACCAAGAACTAAGCCATATGTTCCAAAACACAAGCAACTATGACCTTCAGACAGACCACTTTCTGCTAAAGATAACTCCTGTCTTTTCCAGATTATCCAGAAGAGATAGGTACAACAAGAGATAGGTACTACATCTACTCATTAGCCATTTAGTTCTAAAAATCACACAAGCACTACAACAACCCCTCTGCTTGCAAGCCATAGAAAGCCCCCCAGCATAGTCACAGCCTCAGTGTTTGGCCCATCCTTGTTTTTATGGTTTGCCTTAATCAGCAGTATATTGAAAATAACTGTGCTGCTCAGGCTCAGAACATTTCCATCCACCGTCTTTATGTTTTCTTAGACCAGTCTCTTCAGCATAGCAAGCAGGTGGCGGTCCTTCAGTGGCTCCTCATGTTGATTTAGTGTATGTTTGGGCTGGATGCTAGGTTCTTAGTCCCTGTTGTAGTTCCTAATGTTATAGCACCTTTTCTGCACTCTTCTGATGCAGGCACAATTAAAAGTGGACATGATAGAAATTAGCTATAAGGAATGGCTACTACTTTGCCACATAGTCTAATTCTTCAGAACGCAGATGGATTCCTTGAGCTGCTTGATGCTCACCACAGTGATCATGGGTGGTTCCCAGCTGGGTACCAGGAATGCACACAAGAAGGAAAAGAATATGAAGCTGTAACAAAAAGAATGATGTGAACCTCATAAGCTTAATTTAGTACGTGTTTTTCAATATTCCAGTAAGGGTTCCTTAACTTTCTGTACCCTTGAGGCAGAAGTAGAAATTTTGAAAATTCCTATGATATTTCAGCATCTCCAAAACTAACTCCTGACTTTTCTGCCCCAAAATTTCTGCCCCATACACCTATAGTCTTTCGTACATATAACGCTTGGGTCACAATCCCAAGTAAGTGAACTTGTAATGTGGGATTTCTAATGTTATTCTTATGGCAGAAAAGGAAAGGCACAAGTATTATGTACACATGCTATATTTTCTAGATGGAACAGAAGCCAAAGTTAAGATTAAGGTTGAATATTGAATTTAAGAAGAGCACAAAGCCATACAAATGTCACTCCCTGCAACTAGGGCTTTTTTATGGTTATAACTACTTTAAAAGTTAAAAATTATTTTTGGAGTAGGTTCTTTCTTGTTTCTAGTAGTCAGTCCAAAGCTGTTGACATTAGTGGAAAGTTTCCAGTTTAAAATATGAGTTGGGCCAATCTTTGATGGGTATACTTTTACTGAGCAAACACAGAAGAAAATAAAAAAGCAAAATCTGTGAAACCACTGAAATTATTTCAGTGCAAGTACACTGGAGTTAAATAAGAATAAAGTAGTTCTCAGTCAAGCCCCCAGATTGGTCTCAGTGACTGAAGTGAGCTCTTTCAAAGGGGCTTTTTGACTGGCCCACGAAGAAGAACAGAACCTAACACCCTGTCCTGCACTTGATAATAAAACCCTCTTCAACCCCAGAGCTGCCGAAAAGAGCAAAGGTACTGCCTGGCTTCTGACAGTGTAACACTGGTACCTTAAACCAACTATTCAAATGCATAGTCTTAGTTAAACCACAACACTTAGCTAGTTAGAGACAAGCCCTGTGCAGAAGGACTCACAGTCCAAATAGGTAAGATAAAAGACAATAAAAGAAAAGCAGTCTTATTATCCCCATTTTATGGATAGGAAATGGACCTCTGAAGAAATTAAGTGCCTCGCTCAAAGCCATACAGGAAATCAGTGTCGGAGGAAACAAATGCAAACCTGAGTGTCACGGTAGTTCCTTCCTCTCAATACCATTTTGACCATCAGGGCTGCTTTCAATTAAGTCTTTTATTGAGGACATCTCTTTCTAGCTATGCTTTTATTTATTTATTTATTTACTGCATATCCCACATGGTGGACCTGTAGAATTACGAGTGTCTCCAGCCAGTTTCTTTACTGTGTTTTATGAACCTTAATGAGCCCCCCCTGAAAGCTGAAATACCTACGTCTAGGGGGAAGGGAGCACAGAAGCAGAAATAGCAGCATTGTGTGCAGCTTTTAGTGTGCGGTCCAGGTTCATGGAGTGGTGTGTAAACAATCCACTTTGCCACGTTTGAGGACAGGCACAATTTTAGGAAATCCAAACACCCTGTTAGCCTACTGACCTCTAGATAACCTACTTCAACAACAATGAAACATACAGTATGCTGGGGAGGAGGAGGGGCAATGCTAGGAAGATGTTTTGCTGCCATAGGAAACGGGCCAAGCAAAACTCTCATCATTTTTTATGTTTGCTTGATGATTCTGTAAAAGGAGAGGAGTATCAGTTTGCTAGAAAATTGGTTGCCTGACAGAGATTTGTAGGGAATTTTGCAGCTCCATAGGAGCTCAGGTGTTAGCTGTGGGATATGGTGCTGCCTACACTTGCCTTGATCCTCTCACATGAGAATTCTGCTTTTCCACGGACCTGGGTGAAGTGGAATCCAAAGAGAAAGTGGCTCTGCACTGTCCACATCTTCTCAGCCTAAAGGCCCAAAGGGAGTGTTTAGATAGAGCCCTTTTGACTTAGATACATAGTCTGTAGGTGAGACTCATGTATTTCATAGATAAGAAACACAGTAATTCAGACTAGGAGAGACCCAGAAACATATAAGCATATACAAAATGGAAAATTAGGGGGAAACTAGTGTTAAAAACAGCAGTGGGGGTGCTTGCATGGCTGCTTGACAGCTTCACACATTCAGTAAGCAGATGTCTGTACAAAAACTTTCAAAGGCAAACTGCAAGAGCAAACACATTCACCTTACCTAAGTTTCTTGTTTCTTAATCTTAGTTTTAGTCTTAGTCTTATTTCTTATTCTTGTGCACAGTGAAGTGTTGTCATGCTGTCATTAAATCCTTTCTGAGAAGGAAGAGCTGTGAAAAGTTATGCAGTAAGGACATGCCACCATTTGCATTTTTCATCTAGGCATGCAGTCTGCTTCAGAAAATACTTAAAGCCTATGATTAGCAACCAGCATATATTGAAGCACTTTCTTAAGTAATTCAAGCATCCCCATCACCTGAGCTACCCTACTGTCCAGAAATCTGTGATGAAGTGGCTTTGCCTAGTGGCAATGCAGAGGACAAAAGAGATCTCTCTTCATTTTCTCTAATTGTAACCACTTCTAGCTGCCAGGAATGCACTAACATTCAAAAGGAAATCACATGTACAATAGTATTTTATCTAGTTTGATATGTACATATCCTGAAAGCCTGGCTTTGCTGTGCACCACACTGTGGAAATGCAGAGCACAAAGACCTAATATAGCTGCATCAGCTTTGTGGTGTTGCACATATGAACCAAGAACGGCACTGTTAGGTGGCCTAACCACAACAGTGGGTGAAAAGAAACACAGGCAGGCTACAAGGAACAGTTTCATTGCAAGATAATCCCTGCCTATATCTCTTCAATCTTCTGAAAAAAATCATTTGACTCTTTCTCCTCTCAGTCCCCAGTTGTAACATACTGGAGCTTCGTTGCACCCAGCACTTGTACAAATAAAATCAGCGCACATGCATCATGCAGGAATAGCAATAGCCATGGCTACAGTATTGTAAGAGCAAGAAATCTTGTTATTTATCACCTTGTTACACTGGTCCTGCAAGCCTAGCCATAAAAAATGCCTTGTAACAATACCTAATATCCAATATGTCTGCAGCAAAACACATTTTCCATGTAATCTGACTGTATCAAATCCATATACACTGCAGAAAGAATGACTTGGAATGGGAAGAAAGAAGGAACATTGAGCTTTAGGAAAACTCAAAGGAACATTTTATTGTAACATTTATAATAGAAAGTTGGGGGGTTTAGTTTCGCCTCAAGGTGTAACTTGCTAATAAAAGTTCTGGAAAACCTGCTGTGTATAAGAACCCTGGCCTATG